TTATTTTGCTTCTTCAAAAGCTGGAGATGGGGCGGTAAATTTATCGTCGCTGCGGGGACCTTTTCCAGAAGAAACCAGCAAGAGAACGAGATGTAGAGAGAGAGAGCAAAGAGAGGGAGAGAGAGAGAGAGAGCGTCTGTCTCTGTGTGTCACATGCAGGTGTCCCCCGCCCTTTTCTTCTTGCGTCCTTCGTTCCTTTCGCCGTTGCTTTTGTGTGTTGTCTGGTTTTCTGTGGCGCGGTGTCATCTCTTCTTCCGTATTCATGCGCCGTTTTTTGTTGTTGGTTCTCTTCCTCTTTTATTTTGTCTGCGTGCGTGTCTGGAGTGCCTCATCGAGGTTCGCCGCGGTGGTGAATACAGCGACACACACGCATTACAGTCCACAACACAAGTAAGCCCGACGAGAAGGGGAGAAGAAGAGGCAGTGGGAAGAGTGTTTGCCGTTTACTCCCGAAGGGTAGAAACCATAAGCAACAGCAGCGAAAAAAAAAAAACAAACAAACAAAAAAGCACGGCGAAAAACGGCGGCTGCAAGGAGGGAACCACGCACACGCACACACGCGATGGACCCACAGCTTCAGGATCTATTGGAGCAGGGGGGTCTCTCGCACACCATACAGGGGTTCATTGACGGCGGTGTAACCAGCATCCACCAGCTTAAGCAGCTCACAATGCAGGACTACCAGTCTGTGGGCGTCATTGTCATGACTGACCGCCGTAAACTCTTTGAGCTCATTCAATATATGAAAAGAGAGCAGGCTAATGCTTCGCCCCTCCCCGTCTCTTCCCCTCCCGCGGAGGTACTGCGCAATGCTGATCATAACTCCCATGCAGTCGCTGCAAATGCTGTACGAAATACTACGCCGTCTCGCCGTAGCAACACACCCTCGGGCGTACAACGCAGGGCCGAGAATGAGAGTTCTGCGTTGCATGAGATTAAGTCGATGTCTACGCTTCGACGAGAACCTGTTCGCTTGGGCGAGGACATGAACACCTCGACATCCAAAGCAACCCCAAGCTCGCGACCTGTGAGTCGCCCGACGCGTAACTCCCCCACTTCAGTTGCGCGCAGGGCAGGAGAAAACACGACGACGAAGCGAAAAATGAGTCGAATCATCGTTGCTGTCCGGAAACGTCCACTGAATAACTCGGAGTTGAATGATGGTCTCTACGATGTTTTGGCGACAGACCCAGATAATACACACGCCATTGCCCTTTTGGAACCCAAGCAAAAAGTAGATCTAACAAAATACATTGAGAAACACCGCTTTACGTACGATTTGGTGCTAGATGACAGGCAAAGTAACCGTGATGTCTACGAAAAGACCTGCAAATCTCTTATTGAGACTGTTTTTGAAGGTGGCTGTGCCACTTGTTTTGCCTACGGTCAAACAGGGAGTGGGAAAACGTATACGATGTTGGGAAAAGATGCCCAGGAGGGTATCTACCTTATGGCTGCAAGAGATTTATATTCTCGATTAGAACCTGGTATGAGTATCGTGGTCTCTTTTTTTGAAATTTACGGAGGGAAACTGTTTGACTTGCTCAATGAACGTGAAAAGCTTGCCTGTCGCGAGGATAGTCGTGGTGTCATTAATGTTTGTGGTCTGACAGAGCACCGTGTCGACGATACGGGCCATCTTATGCGGGTGATAGACTATGGAAACTCCATTCGTGCGGCCGGATCGACGGGTATGAACGCGGATTCTTCTCGTTCGCATGCAATTCTTCACATCACCGTGTTGAACGCCAAGAACCGTTTTTTTGGTAGGTTCACGTTTATTGATCTTGCCGGTAGTGAAAGGGGGGCGGACACGCTCGACAGCGATCGCACAACGCGGCTGGAGGGGGCGGAAATTAACAAGTCGCTGCTGGCGCTCAAGGAGTGTATTCGGGCCCTTGATCAAAATCACCGTCATATCCCCTTCCGTGGGTCGAAGCTCACAGCTGTGCTTCGGGATTGCTTCACTGGCAACAGCCGGACTGTAATGATAGGCAATGTCAGCCCCGCAAGCGGAAGCTGTGAGCATACGCTCAACACGCTTCGCTATGCCGACCGCGTAAAAGAACTGAAGAAGGATAAATCGTCTCGCATTGCCGCCGAGGAAATTATGATCGGTCAGATGCCAAGTGAAGAGGTGGAAACCCTCGGTCTCAGTGGAACCTTTGCCCAACGGCGCGCACGTGAGAAGAAGCTGGGCACCCGATCTTCCAGTCAGCTCTCACAGCGTGAACCGGGGACACCCAAACTGACACCCCTCGGTAGGTATGGTAGCGGTTACCGCCCCAAGGCACCTCCAGCTCGCATGCGCGGGGCCTCAAAGGAGGAAGATTATCCGAATTTTTCAGACAGTATCCGTTCCAGTAAATTTACCAGCAGCGGGCCTGCAAAAGGAACTAGCTATGCCAAGGCGACACCAAAGCACAGTCGTGTTGCTAGTGAAGTGTCGGTGCAGGCTGCTAGTCCGTATGATATGGCTTCTTTTGCGAGTGCAGACTCCTTAGACGATGACGAAGACAACGTGATTTTGCGCCACCGTCGCCACATCGACGCCATGATGGAGTTGCTAAAGCAGGAGATGACAGAGCTAAACGGGGTTGAGATGCCGGGCGCCTCCATTGAGACGTACTGTAGAAATGTCGACAGTATTCTCACGCATCAGGCCAAAAACATTGAGGGAGTTAGGAGTATGATCAGAGAATTAATGAAGCATGTAGAGGCCCGTCAGCGACACTAGTTGCCGCGGGAAAAAGTGGATGAGTGAGATGCGAGAATAGACGGAATGAAAAAGGAGTTAAGGAAACAACAACGGCAGCAGCAACAACAACAACACACGCACCCACGAAAGGCGTATTTGAGAAGTGATCTCCATGTTCCGCGCATGCCACTTTCTCTTTCCCTCCGTTTCTACGGAGGAACGGAGTCATCCTCATCGTTGCCATTAATATTATTCTTCTTGCCGTTATTTTCATTATTTTACTTTTTTTGTCTTGTTCTCCCGCCAGTTGGGTGGGGGAAAAAAGGGGGTGTAAAACGAGAGAGGAATGAAAAAAAAACTAAACACCAAGTAGAACGGGAAAACTGTTTAGAGATATGAAGTGAGAGACTCGCGGTCGACAAAGAAAGAAAGAGGGAGGGAAAGAATGAGGTTGCACTATTTGGGCAATGTCTGAGGAAGCGGGAGGAGGGGGGCGGGCAGAATGCCCAAACGTAATCGCTCTTGAGAGGAACGGCCACAGTAAGTGGCATGAGGAGAAAATAATGAGGGACAAAAAGAATGAGGGTGAAAAAAGGAAGAAGAAGAAAGAGAGGCTTGTGCGTGTGAGGGTTCTGGTACAAAAAGGGGAGCCCGCTCTCTTGGCTGCTCGGTTCTCTGGCGACCCTGTCGAGGGGACCGCTTTTCTTGGCGAAGAGTTTTTTTTGTTGTTTTTGTTGTCTTTATTCTTAGAGCACAGGGGAATGAAGAGAAGAGACCTCCTCCTCCTCGTTTTTTTTTCCCCACCCCTTCTTCCGGGGAGGGAGGGCGGGAGGCTCCATCCTGGCCACGATGTGTGCTCACCAGCGGGGTGGGAGTGAACACGTATGGGAGCATCGGCGCGCAATAAAGTTTCTTTTTTAGAATTCTCTTCCCTCTTCCATGTTCCGTCTTTTTTCACTTTCTATCCTTTGCATTTCTTTTGCTATATTGCTTTTACTCATTGTGCACAGACGGCAATGGCCCCATCTGATGCTGCTTGACATTTTTTGGGGGGGGGGGGTGACGCGGTGGCGAGGGTGGTGAGGGAGTCACACTGACTCTCCGTGACGCAATGGAAGTAGCACTCTCCTGCAGCACCTTTGCTTATGCAACTGCTAGCCGCAGCCATCAGGTCTTTTTCCCCTTTCCTTTTCTTTTGTCTGTCTGTCCCTTGGCTAGTGTGTGTGTGTGTGTGTCCGTGTCCGTGGTCACCTGCTCTTCGGGGTCGTCCACTTCTTTAACTGTGCCTGTGCGTGCGTGCTACTTTCTTCAGCGATGTCTGTTACGATGCTTTCTCTGCTTCTCCCCACCCCTTTCTTTTTGGTGCCGGGTCGGCTCGTACTCATTTTGTTTCTGCTGCAAACCCGAAAACCACAACGGCAAGAAGGCTGCAAGGAGCCCTCTGCTGTAAGCAATGCGAGCTCAGCGGGTTTCTGGCAGGGCATTGCGAAGACATTTGGGGCTCCGATGTAGCTCATCATTGCCAGTTCCGTTGCCACCACCGCCGCCGACGACGGTGCGGTCGAAAGGGTACGGCCCCACGAAGGACCTCCTAAAAGGGGTAGACACCTCAAAACGACTTGTTGTTGAAACGGAATTGCATCCGGCGGATGCGGAGATGCAGCGACTCGTCCTTTCCCTCTCTGGTGCCGACGTGAGCGTCTACACCCCGCTCGGCGGTGAAGTAAACGCTCTACACAGCAGGGAGGAGGCTCAACAGGAGGGCATCGTTGCCATCTCGCCCGAGCAGCTGGCCTCGGTGGCCACCGTGGTTGTGGACCAGGTGAAGGAGCAGCTGGAGCTGAACGGCTATGCCGCCGAGGCGTCGCAAGACGGCCGCTCGGGTGGCGTTGTGAACGCGGTTGCCGATTGCCTGCGACAGGAGATGGAGCGTCTTTTCATCGCAATGCAGACACAGGAAGTCTCGCTCTCCCGTATGCTGGGGGAAAATTCCGACGTCATTTGTGCAAGAATTGCGGGTGTGATTCAGGCGGAGCGATCACTGACCGCAGGAAAGGCGAAAGGGGAGGCGCAGCAGCTCTCCCACCTCACACAGGAGGTTACCTCCGCGGTGGCAAAGTTAGAGAATTCATTGAAGGCGACGCTGCAGGAGACTCTTGCCGCGAACAATAAGAAACTGGACCCTGTTTTTGAAGATGTGCGCCTGCATGTCGTTGAGGCCATTGAACAGGCGTCACGTTTGCAGCAGGAGCAGCTTGCTGTATCCCTTCAAGATGCACTGGAGAGAAATGTTCCACCTTCATCTGCACCAGAGGACCCTGCCAGACTTGATGCGATTCAGGAGATTGTGAGGAATACCATGGCAGGAGTCGTTGAAGAAACACAACACGAGGTACGAGCGTTGTTGGAAGCGCTAAGAGAAAACGCCAAAACGTCGCCACCTGCCCGTGATGATATTTCTAGCGCGAAGGAGTCGGAGCTGGAGGGGTTCTTGACATCATATGGAGAGCGGCTTGAGGAACTGCGTGAGTCAACGGCTGGATTTACGGATCTGAAGGAGCTGCTGATGGAGGTTCACAGTCTCCAGCAGACACACGAGACGGCCATTCAGCAGGTGCAGGACAGCATGAAGCGACTGAAGAAGGAGTTGTTGGGCGCTCTTCGTGTTGCGACTCCGTCTGCCCCCCTTGAAGCCAAGGCGGAGAGCCAAGACGACTTGCTTGCGGCGTACTCCGACAAACTGGATGACCTCGCTGACCGGGTGACTGCAACGGTTGAGCAACAGCTGAAGGAGCAATCGGTGGACGTGAAGGAGTTACTCATGCAGTTACGTGCGCTGGAGAAAGGGTTCGGGGCAAAGCAAAAGCCTGTCTTGGATCCCATCCCTGTCATGCACGACCTTGACGATGATCGCATGATTGCCCTGGCGCAAAGTATTAGCGACAGCGTTCTTGCCTCCTTGCCTACGCCTGAGGCCCTGCCACCGCAGGCCCCAGCTTTCACAAAGGAAGAACTTGTTGAGGCTGTGACGGCCGTCCTAAGCCCGAAGTTGGAGGAGTTGGCTGCTGCGGTGGCAAAGATGGAAGCGACGCAGCCCGCGAGGGTCATTGTGGCCCCTGCCGAGGAAGGCCCAAAGGGGGTGGGTGAAGAGCAGCTCATCACGCTGGCTCAGACCATTGCTGAGAGTGTGAGAGATGCCGTGCGGGAAGTGGTTCCCACCAAGGAGTTGTCTGAATCAATAACGTCCAAGGAAACGCACTTGGCCCTCATGACACGCCTGGAGGCTTTAAAAGGAGAAATCGTGTCCGCCGTAGAGGAGGAGATGGGACGCACGCACGAGATTGATCTAACGCCTTTCCAGAACTATCTCGATCAAATCCTTGGCGGCGTGCAGGAAGCATCAAACAAACAACACGAAATAACACAAGCTAAAGTAGGGGACGTGATGGAGGCCCTAGTTGGACGCTTGCAAAAGCAGCAACAAGTGCTGCTTGAAGCGCTGCAGGCTCAGCAGCTGCCAGGCGACGAGGCAGTGAAGCCGCCGGTATTCACAGCTGATGGGCTGGCAACGCTCAACGAACGCCTCCTGGGCGAGATCAAAGACATCGTTACCGGCGACGCCGCTTCCTTTCTTTCAACACTTGAAGCGGTGCGGCAGGAGGTTCGTGACACGGCAGACCGCTTGCCGGAGGGTTTGGGGGAGAAAATGTCCTTGATGGAAAACGCCATACATGAGGTTCGTACTGCGGGAGAATCTCATTCCGCCAGCCTACAAGATGCCTTGAAGGGCATCACGACAAGCGTTGAAAGCGTTAAAGAGGAAAACGACGCGGCTGGGCAGGTTCTTGCCTCCATTAACACAGTGGTGACTGATCTGGCACAAACAAGCATTGCATCTGCCAAGGAAATCAAGGCGCAGTTAAGCGCTGTGGAGGATAAGGCCGAAACTTTGCATACCCGGCTTACATCAGATTTTTCTCAGCACATTGGGCGGCTTCTAACAGAGGTGCAGGAAGGAAAACGACTGATGGACGAGCGCCTCTCCTCCAATGCGGAGTACAAAGGCTTGACGGCCTTGGTGGAGACAATGCGGATGAAGCTGGAGGAGGTGGGCCAATCGCTAGAGAAGATGAAAACTCCACTGTTCACGTCGCCGCCATTGGAGCAAGAGCAGCCCAAGGAGCAGCAACCACCACAGCAAATTGTGCGTGGAGAAGTCATTGAGTCGCGGCTTGACGACCTTTCTGTGGTAACTCAGGAGATTCTTTCGGAACTTCAGAAGTATCATTCCGCCCAGGAAACGCCGGCCCCCGCGGATACGGCCCTCAAGAAGGAAAACTTAGAGGCAATGGAGGTTCGTCTGAATGAGCAACTGCAGCTGCTTCACAGCAAACTTGAGGAGATGATGCAACAGGATGCTGCTGCTATGCTGCCTCCCTCGGAAGAGGAGCCGCCGCAGCAGGCTTCCGTGTCAGAAAATGTCGGTCAACACATAAAGGACTTAGACGCCCTTATCAAGCATCTGCAGACGTCCCGAAGTGCACAGGTGAAGCAAATGAGGGAGAAGTTGGTCACTCTCCGTTCATTTCTTGCCACCGGAGGTCTGGGTGAAGGAGGAGAGGGCAACATAAAGGCATTTCTCGAGGCGCTGGAGGAGAATAGGCTGAAGCTGAGAGAAGATGCTGCTGGTGCAGAAGCGGCATTGGTGACTGAGGTGAATGATGCGGTCCAGCAAACTCTGGAGCGCCTTTTATCGTCTGCTGAGCAGACCCTTGCCGACTCCACGAAGAAGCAGCTGCAGCAGCTTCAAATTGACCTCGATAACAAGAGTGAAAAGCTCGGGACGCAACAACAACATGCGGCTTCCCAGTTACAGGATAGATTAAATAACTTGGAGCGTTTGCAGGAGAGTCACACTGTGGCACTGGCCAAGGAAATTCGGAATGAACATGAGGAGTGGCGTGGCATGCTTAATCGGGTCATACAACAGGAGATGCCGACCACACTGCAAGGCGTCATTGCGGAGGTTTGTACGGAGCAGTTGCGTTCCGTACGAAATCACTTAGAAGAACAGGGGACCCGAGAGGAAAAGAGTGCCGCGACATTGCTCTCGAGCGTAAGAGAGGTGTCACACAACATTTCCCAATTGGGTAGCCTCGGTGCCGAAATGCGAGCGGCTGTGGGTCAGGGATCGGCAACGATTATAGAGGAGCTGCGGCGCACACAGGAGCGGCTTGCGGACCGCTTTGAGCAGCAGGTGTCAACGGTGGTGCAGCAAAGGTCCGACGAGGCGGTATTACCTATAGTTGCAAAGACGCCTATTGCGACTCCCGTTGTACCCTCCCCGACGACGCTCTCTTTGTGGTGGCTGTGTGTGTTGTCATTTGTTGTGTTTGCCACTATCATGGCATGCGGCTATTTTATCTTTGCCGCATTTCTGGTCGCCTTTGTCCCCGTGCCGCCGCCGGAACAACTGCTCGCAAACGCCGCCGCACAACTCCCGAGGCCGGAGAATGCGGTGGATACTCCAAAAAAATTGTCCTCCTCTCGCGTGGTGGATCAAGTGATGGAGTAGCCACTCTTTCTGCATAGATCTTTTTTTCTTTTTCCTCTCTCTCTCTTGCGATGCATGCATGATTTGCATTTTTCTTAAACATTGCAACCTGATATCTGCTTGCTTCTCGCTGGAGATGTGTAATAGCATTTGCGCTGTTTTTTTTTTGCATTTGGGGGCTTGTTGCACTCCATGAGAAAGAACTTTCACTTCCCCTTCCTTTTTTTTTCTGTGTGTGTGCGTGTGTGCCGACGCTCTTCTTCTTTCTTGCGCGCGTACGTGCTTTGGCGATTGCTGGGTCTGACGCAACACAAACCAAACAAACAAAAAGGAAGAGGAAAATAGTAGTTTCCTTGTTTTGCCCACGACCGCGTTTCAGTGTTCAGAGAAATAGGCAGGCGAGAAGAAAAAAAGTGCTGAGGCGCGGCGAATTGGTAGGGGGGATAGTGCAGATACGCGTCTTTCCACCAGTTGCGAGGGGGGTTTTTCCTTTCCTCTTTCTAATAACAAAAAGTGATTAGCCCCCTTCACCGAACTTTTGGAGGGAGCAGGGGCGCGCGGGGTCCGGCGCTTTGACACACAGACTGCGGGAGACGGCGTTAAAGCCCTTGCTATCCACGCACCGAAGGCAACAGGGACAGCAGGGGCCATATACGTATATATATATATATATCTATTTATATACATCCATATATAGCTATCTATGGTTGACGCCCCGCCACCGAGACCAGCTCGGAGCCAATCCTCCTCACGAGGCGTGGCGGTGGCTGCGTCTCAGAAAACTAAGCCGAAGAATGCGCCATTCAAGTTCCTACGCAAGGATGAGGGGCGGCTGTCCTACACGTGCCAGGCGGACTCCCCAGTGTCAGGGAACAACCACGGCAACCAATTCAACATCAGCGGCCATAACTACGCCAGCCGTGACAGCCCATCAAGCGAGCGGCGCGTATCTCGATCACTGCGTGAAGCTATCGCCAATGACATGCGCAAGGGAAAGAATCAAGACCCGTTTGCGGCAGTTGTCATTGCCGTACCAAAGCGTTCTCCGCCGCCCAATCCCGCTGCACGTGACGAGGCACAAGGCTCTCCCGATCCCCCACCTCTCCAGGAGCGTAGGACGACCCAGCGGCAGCAGCAGCAGCAACAGCAACCGCAACAGCAACAGCAACAGCAACAGCAACAGCAGGCCGCAAGGAAGCTCGAGTTGGTGGTAGAGGATCAGGATTTGGGCCCGAATGGAGGGATGGAGACGACATCAAAGCCGCGGCAACGGTCACGTAGCTCCGAGGATCCGGAGAGATCAACAGAAGCACTAGGGCAGCGGTCCAGCGCGAACCCGAGCCACCCTACACCGCGACGGAGCGATGACTACGACGACATGGAATGGCAGCGTCCGCCTCAGCGACGGTATCGAGGCGAGGAGATGATGCTGGGTAACGGGATTTCGCGCAAATCCCCTGCGCGTCGGTATTTGGATCCTGTAGGCCATGAGGAGGACTACCCGCGAAGTAGTCGAAATTTTTTCGTGCGCCCACAGCGCCAAGGCTACCGTTCCACACGCGAAGAAGAAAATTTGGTAGAGCAACTTGAAGAGGAGCTGCAGGCAGCTCAAGAAGAGCGAGGGAGATACCAGCAGCTTAAATTGCAGTTAGAGCGCGATAGAAAGCGTTTTGAAGACTACCGCGTTGTTGTGGAGCAAGAAATTGAAGATGAACGTGCGGAGCTAGATGCCGCAAGAGCATCGGATAAGTGGCAGGCCAAAAAAGACGTCAAGGTAGTAGAGGAACGGTACAAATCTACACTAGAGCTCCTGAAGTCGGAGAGGGAGTCAAACAAGAAGCTAACACAGGAGAATGAATTGCTGCGGCAACAGCTGGAAGGAATGACAACCCACATGCGGGAAACGCAGAAGCTGCAAAAGGCAGAGACTAGTCGTTTGCGGCGTGAGATTGAGTCCTTGACTCGGCGCAACGAAGAATTACTAGAAATGACAAGAGAGCAGCAGATTGCCGCGCTCGAGAGCAGCTCTAAAGTTGCAGTGTCAGTGCCGCCATTGCAGATTGCGTCAAACGCTTGGCGCCATGCCACTGCCAGTACCTCTAGTACTGGGCGAAGTAGCGAAGAAAACCACGTCGTCCCGGAGGTTCGCTCGACAGCTGGCAATAGTATAGAACAACAACACACTGACACCGCCTGGGGAAAGAAACAAAAACGCCTCAATGAAGAAAAGGCGCGTAAGCGACTCGAAGCCGAGAAGAAGGAAGAGGAGCGCAAGCGGCTCGAGGCTGAGGAGAAGGAAAAGGAAAAGGAGCGCAAGAGGCTCGAGGCTGAGGAGAAGGAAAAGGAAAAGGAGCGCAAGAGGCTCGAGGCTGAGGAGAAGGAAAAGGAAAGGAGCGCAAGAGGCTCGAGGCTGAGGAGAAGGAAAAGGAAAAGGAGCGCAAGCGGCTCGAGGCTGAGGAGAAGGAGCGGCGAAGACAACAGCAGCAGCAGGCACAGGGGGGAGAAGCGGTGATGGATGGCAAGTCGCAGGAGTTGCGCAGCCAGCGGCGGGTTTCTGGCCACCCAATCAACACTCCCCGCGGACCGAACGCCAAATCTCAAGCCACTGCGGCACGGCGGACGACGTCGCTGTCGAGTTCCACCGTCTCCGTTTCGCGCAAGCCCCGCCGGATACCCACGGCGGAAGAGCTTATAGCGGAGGACGAACCAACGCCTGCGGAGGATTTTCCGAATGACGCTGTTGTCTCACAGACCGCTTTGGGAGACAATCCCAACAAACGCGAAGTGCTCTACCGTAGCGGCAAGCGGGAGATTCACTACGCAAACGGCACGCGAAAACTGATTCTTCCCTCTGGTCATGTGGTTCTCTACTTCACAAACGGGGACATTAAGCGTACTTTTCCGTCGGGGAAGAGCACCTATTGGTACGCCGCCGCGCAAACGACTCACACTCAAAATGCTGACGGTGTGCAGGTTTTCCAGTTTCATTCCTCTGGCCAGATTGAACGACATCTGCCAGATGGCAAGAAGGAGATTCTCTACCCTGACGGTATCTACAAAGTAGTTTTCCCCGACGGACGTGATGAGACGATATTTCCTGACGAAATGTGATTTCTCATTTCAACACTGTGACACCACTTGTTGGCCTATTTATTTTTCTCCAGGCATTCTCGTTGAACATTTTTTTTTGTTGTCTTTTTGTGCGTGTGGGTGTGTCCTCGTGTTGTCGTAGTTATTGTTGTTGTGGTGCGGCGCGACGACGGTGGTAAACGACACATCGCTTTTTTTTTTGAAGAAGGGCGTTTTATCAACGTGTCACAGCCAGACGCCAGTGGCAGTGTAGCTGCAACTTCTTCCAGGGAGCCGTAGAGGTGTGTGCGTGCGCGAGTCCGTGGGTGTAGTAGGGCGATTCATACAAGAAAACTCTATGTTTTTTCTGTCTCCTGTACTTTTCATTTTTTTTTCTTCTTCTTTGGTTTGTGCTTGTGCCGCGTGCTGGTTTTGTTTGATGGTGTGCGTGCTTTGTGCCTGATAACGGCGTTTTACTGTTGCCTCCCGTTCGTGTATTCGTTGTGCTTGCCTCCACCGCCGCTGGGAAATGGCACGAGGAGCGGGGTGGGGGACGCGAAAAGGGAAGACGTAGAGAAAAGTGAGGGAAGTGGCTGGCGGAAGGAGCTAAAAAAACAAACAAACAAACAGAATATATATATATATAAATAAAAAAATAAGAGCAAAAGAGAGAAGAACGAGATGAATAGAGTTGGACTTACAGAAACAATGTGGTAGAGCGGGGCAACATACAAAGTGAAAGGCAGAGTGGGGGATAAAGAGGTGGGAGAGGAAGGAAGTCAGCAGAAACAGCAGGAAGACGATAGTGTGGTTTCTCTTTGGATATACTTCTTTTTTGTTATATATGCACCCACTTGTGAGTGTGGGTGTGTGCGTGCGTGGATGAAGTGATACGCACCCAGTGCTACATGAACTCACGCGGTTCACGAGAATATGGAGGAGTATGACGTAAGTGTGGGCTTTGCAATTATGAGGGATGACCACAAAAAGTATCATTTTGTTTGTTTTTTATAGGCCCTTGTTCCTGTAATGTAGAACGGCCCTGTTCTTCCCGTGCGTCGAAATGCATGATGCATGAGTGTACGTAAGCGCAGTCATACATATATTTCCTAGGCATGTACTTATTGTTACCTCTGCCTCTCTGCGTGCGTGCATTTACTGGGTGCTGCTACCGCAGTTGTAGTGGTTGCAAAACTCGTTGTTCCTATATCTTTCTATGTATTAGTGATTCCGCCAGTCTCGCTTGTGCAGTGTCTTCCCAGTACCCAATTATATTTGGTGTCCTCCTGGACGCGTTCTCCCCACGACTGACCGTCTCTGTGAAGGCGTGAATGAGTCCTTCCCAACACATTATTTGCTCCTACGTACCCTCTTTTTTTTTTGTTTCTTTCTCCCTCTTCTTTTTACACTTTTATATGGGGCGTTCAGCCTTTTTTTTTTGTATCCTTCTTTGCAGCAAATGACTTGCTTTGGCGTGCCAATGTTTCCTGTGGACTCGTTTGACACGTCCGCATATCTGTTTGCCCTTTTTTTAAATGTCTGCAAGTGCGCGCATCCACCTTTTTTTTCTGTGTGTGTGTGTTTTCTTTTGCCCCCCTTCTCTTCCCTCTCTTGAGTTGGGCTCCCTGGAGGTCCCTTTCATACAAGCAAGCATACAAAACACGAACCAAGCCAAGCAACTGAAGCAACAACAAGACGACCTGCAAACAGTACGCAACGATGGTGGAGGTGCCGCGCAACTTTCGTCTGCTGGAGGAGCTTGAGGCAGGCGAGAAGGGGACGGGGTCGAACCAGAACGTGTCCGTCGGCATTAGCGGCACAGACGACATCTATCTCCATAACTGGAACGGGACCATCGTTGGGCCGGCCGGCACCACGTTTGAGAATCGCATCCTTTCCCTAGAAATATACTGCGATGAGGACTACCCGAAGAAGCCGCCGCACATCAAATTCATCAGTCGCGTGAACCTGCCGTGTGTGGATGCCGACGGCACGGTTGACAAGACGAGATTCCACATCTTCAAGAACTGGGAGCGTCGTTACACAATGGAGAAGTGCCTTGCTGAACTGAGGCGGGAGATGGCGCAGCCGGCTAACAAGAAGCTCCCGCAGCCGGAGGAGGGCTCAAAGTACTAAAAACAGACGGCGAGGGACCAGAAACAGGGCAAGAAAAATGAAGCAAGAGAGTGCAGACAGAAGCAGCAGCGGCAGAAGCAAGACAAACACTACAGACACCCGCGGTCTGAGAGTCTCAAGGAGGCGATAGTGGGAAAAAAGGGGGCATACAATTGGAGTCCGACTCGAAAAAAAAAAAAAGAAATAGTGAGGAGGGAGGAGTTGTGAAGGTGTTGAGAATATGCGAAGGGCATGAGGGGGCGGAATGTACTCTGCCGCAGTGGAGATGTGAGGGGGTGGAGGACACGACGAGGAAGACGAGGACGAGGGCAAAAGAACTCTACAGAACAATAAGAGAAGATGACTAGCGCAAGCAAAAAAAAAAGGAAAAAAGAAGAAATAAATGCGGTAGGAAAAGTAACTAGGGCAACGCAACCACGGGTAAGAAACCTTTCCCCCCTTTTCCCGCTCTGTCACCCATCAATACCATCACCAATGCCCCGCCACAGCAGTTTTTTTTTTTTTCATCTCCATCACTTGGCTCTTTACGCCCCCATTGTTGTTTTTGTTGTTTCCTGTAGTTGTTCTGTATATCTGTTGTTAGTGCTCTTCCTTTAGCCTGTGCAATTTGCCGTCACCCACAACTTCTTCATCGGTTTTTGTTCTCCGGCCTCTTTCATCTTTCTTTTTGTGCACCGTTGTTTCACCGTTAACATTTGTTGCCTTCGAAGGATTGTTTGGACCCGCTTCAGGTTAAACTAACCACTGCATTCCAGGAGATCACCTGCGGAAACTAGGGCGGGAGACTTTTAATCCGTCGCTTTCACTCACAGTGTCTTTGTGTGCGTCTGCCGGATTGTGAAGGCGGCGCGTACGGCACAAAGGGCGACGACCGATCGACCCATAATAATAATAAGAAAGGAGAGCAACCGCGCAAACTAGGGGAGGGGGGAGAGAAAGAGAGAGAGACGAAACGGTGACTTGGGTGTGTGTCTGTGTGAGTGAGTGGAATGCACCAAGAACCGGGACGTATGTGTGATGCCTCTTCCGTATTTGACGACACTGACGCGGAGCGTAACGCTGAGGACTCGGAGACATTGAGATATGGGAATGGTGAGGAGGAGTCAACTCAGTCGATGTGCGATCTACGTCTCCTCGGAGCCCTTTCCGCCGAAAGTTGTTCGTCGCGTCCTTCTTTCTTCTCCACACCACCGGCAAAAGGTATTTTTCTTGATCTTATTGATGGTCTGCTGCGCTCTGGTACGGCGTCATCCGTCTCACAAGCTTCTGGTAAGCCCCTCCAAGATGAAGCATCTAGTTCAACGGACGACGGGGCGCAACGATTCTTTACTACTGAGCTAGTGGACCAACTCTGCGACGAAGCTCAAGCCGTCTTGGAAGGGGAAAAAGTGTTGTTAAACATAGAGTTAAAAAAAATGAAACACTCGTGGTTGCGGGTGACATTCATGGCCATTTCAATGATCTTCTCTGCTCTGTCTTATCAGAGCAGTCCAATATGCAGCTGAACGTCGATGGAGCAGATCGTAAATTTCTTTTTATGGGGGATTTTGTGGATCGGGGACCGTGTGGGGTGGAGGTGGTAATGCTGCTGTTTGCACTAAAGGTGGAGTACCCGCAACTTATTCACATGCTCAGGGGGAACCACGAGGATCCACAAACGTCTCGTGTATATGGTTTTTTTAACGAGGTGCACGCGAAATTTGGCTGTGGTGCCCCCTGGGTCCGTTTTAATGAAATTTTTTGTTATTTGCCGCTTGCCGCCGTCGTGACGACACCGCGAATTCGCTTTTTCGCATCCCACGGAGGTCTTTCCCCGTCCCTTTCAAAGTCATTTGACATTATAACGACAATTGAAAGATCCGACTACGGCAGTGTTCTTGACAACGTTCTTAGCGAGGTTGTTGATGGTCTCTTGTGGTCCGATCCCACAGACTCGACAGCGTACTTTTCACGAAACGTGCGGGGATGCGGATACCTGTTTGGCCCGCAGGCTAGCCGTGAGTTTTGCCAAGTGAACAAATTTGACTTCATCTGTAGAGCTCACCAGGTTGTGGCGGAGGGATATGAATGGAGTCACGACAATAGGGTGCTCACGGTGTTCTCCGTGCCTAATTACTGCGGGTTTAGCGGAAATTTGGGGGCTGCTATGATAGTGCAACCCTCTGGTTCCGAAGACGAAGACGAAGACGAAGAAGAGCTGCGCTTTAAGCAATTCAAGTCAGCCGTAGAGGATAGTGAGTGTTCACCATATTTAGCGAAGCCGTGCGGGGAGTTTGTGTTTGCGGCGTTTGACTGATAAGTGGAGGTTCTAATTACTCGTTGTTTACCTTTAAAAAAAGTGCTTATTGGATGAGAGGGAGCTGGAAAACAGATTGTTTTTCTTCTTTTGTTTTGTCCGCTGTTGTTTGTGATCCCATTTTATTTCTGGTTTTGTTGACTTAATTCCGTCTGAGCCTCCTGAATGTGTACGTCTGCGGCCCTCCGTATGTATGCCGCGCTGCAATGGCTACTAAAAGGGCATACGTTTGCGGTGCCTTTTTTTTTTTGGTTCTCTCCCTTTTGGGGGCCGGACGTTTTCTTTTCGTTTCCCATTCGGCGCTTCTTTGCTAGGAGGCTCTGAGGCGTATATCACAAAACAAAAGCAAAAAAAAAAAGAGAGAGAGAGAG